ATCGGTGCTAACGATTTTTCGGCAATCATCTCCCAAGATACAACGACCACATCAAGCCATAGGAGCACTCCAAATGACTTAGACCAACGAACTCGAACGGAGTTCCCTCTCTACCATAACCATGATTTTGATGCAAGAAATAATCATTTCTGCAAAGTGTTTTATGCAAAACTAAATTGTAAACATGATGAAATAGGATGATATGAAACTATCAATTGAATTGTTTGTTTTTTTTTAATAAAATCCAAACACATGGAGATCTATACATATAGTAGTTGGAAACCACACCAAGAGGCACATCTCTTAAAATTAAGAATCATAATTATTGGAAGTTACTTACACCAAAAGTCATGATCTCCAAAAGTCATGATCTTCCATATGAAAAGACTCATTATTTCATCTACTCATTCTCTATAATATTCCACAATATTCTATACAATTTCCAACAATTTCAAGTATTTAAACATTTTAAGTTTGGTTTAATTTCTCATTCACCAAACAAAAAATTTCACTTAAACAATCATCGAAATTGGTCACAACCAATTTCGAAATTTCCAACAGTAACGAAATGGAGTTAGGTTGGTTAGGGAAGAACCAAAAATTTTGGTCTTTATCTAGTGCAGATATGGTATGGTTGAAGAATTATTCTTTATTTCTTTTTTTCTCTTTCCTTCACATGTTTTTTTATTCCTTCTGTTAGTTAATTTCCGTTAGGACATGTGTCCACCTATCATTGGCCACTACTTCATATATATGTTTTGAACCTTTACATTTCAAATGCATTGAATGAAATAAATTGATTAGAAAACTGCAGCACGATTTTTAGCTGCACAAATCTTCCTTTTCAAATTAAACATGGTATCAGAGAAGATTTCCAGATCCTGAGCTTATCATCTAAGCTGCTATCAAACTGATTCAGAATTAAAGCATGGCTACAGAAATGCTACGTGAACATATCGATCCTTTACCCACAGAACGAGGATTATCAGAGAAAAGTTACAGCATTGGAGATCCATTAGACCTTCAAGGATCGGATCACCCAGGGATGACACTGTTGACTTCACCTCTAACAGGAAAGAATTATTTGAGTTGGAGCAGATCTATTAAAATAGCATTAGGTGCAAAATTGAAATTGGAATTTATAGATGGGAGATGCGGAAAACCAGCTGAAGAATCCTCGAAGCTTGATCAATGGGTTAGAGTGGATTGTATGGTGAGATCTTGGATATTGAATCGAATCTCGAAGTAAATTGTGGATGCTTTCGTATACACCACTTCAGCTAGAGACTTATGGGTTGAATTGGATGAGAGATATGGAGAATGTAATGGTCCTTTATTGTATCAATTACAGAGGGAAATTAGTAGCCTAACTCAAGGATCATCATCTGTTGAAAGGTATTTTACTAAAATAAAAAAACTGTGGGATGAGATTACATGTTTAATGCCTATTCCGGTTTGCACTTGCGGAGTTGCGAAAGAAGTATCTGATTTAGCTTCCTTTAACAAACTGATGCAATTTCTGATGGGGTTGAACGACACTTATGATAATATCATAAATCAATTGCTGGTAATGGATCCTCTGCCATCTGTCAATAGAGCTTATTCCATGGTATTAAGGGTTGAAAAACAGAGGAAAGCACATGTATTGTATCCAGAGGTTAATGAAAATCTAGCTATGATGGCAACAGGAAATAACTATAGAGGTAATGGATCTATGAGAGGAAGAGGCTGGACTGGAAGATTTAATTCAGGAAGGTTTAATACAGGGAGAGGAAATTATAAAAGGTTCAACAACTTTGATAAAGAGACATTATTCTGTGATCATTGCAATGCAGATGGACACTCCAAAGAACGATGTTTCAAGTTGATAGGCTATCCAGATTGGTATAGAGGCCTAAAGGAACAAAGAGCTAAGGAATTTGGGGGAAGAAATGTGGTGAATAATGTGATGAATATGAGTGACTCACCACTTGATTTTGATGAAAGGACGTCTGTTATGAATCAAAAGGGTGATGCATCGTTTGGAAGTATCATAAACATAGTGCAACAGGAACTGAAGAGAATGCTCAAAGGGAAGTTACTGGTTGATAATAGCAGTCAAGTTAACTTTGCACATCTCAACGAGTATTCTGGTATGTGTATCCAACATTTGGCCTTTACTTCACTTGATAATTTAGGATGTAGTACTTGGATTATTAATACTGGTGCTAGCAATCATATATGCATAGACATAAACCAAATGACAGATATTAAACCTGTTACACAACCTACTGTTGTCTGTTTGCCTGATGGATCAGTGAAACATGTTAAAAATATTGGATCCATCACTATAAATCGAAAACTCCTTTTAACCAATGTCTTACACATTCCCACATTCAAATTCAACCTTTTATCTGTTCCAAAATTGACTCAAACTGAAAATGCTAAGTTCACCTTTTATCCAACTCATTGCTCTCTATAGGACCTAAAGAATGAAAGAATCCTAGCAATTGGAAAACTGAATGTGAAGTTATATACATTAGATGATTTTAGTTTTCAGACCTTACATGCTGAACATTGTAATAGAGGAGTTGATGTCTGTAATAAATCCTCAGCTGAGAATTTTCAGCCTGCTGATAGTGTTTTTCATGTTGATAAAACTCCTTCTATTTCTATCATTATTGGCATAATTGATTGGGACATGCTTCTTACCAGTGCTTGCAACATCTTGATTTTCTTAATCCACTTTGTGGTACTTCAATTATAAAATGCTTGCAACCATGTGATACTTGCCACAAAGCTAAACAAAGCAGATTACGTTTCCAGAATTTCCCAGATTCACACAAAATCCATTTTTGATTTGCTACATATTGATATTTGGGATCCTTATAAACATCATACACCAATAGGAACTCCCTATATGCTCACCATAGTGGATGATTATTCTAAAGTCACATGGACATTCTTGATGATCCAAAAATCCCAGACTGTTCAGACTCTTGAGTCCTTTTTTAAAATGGTCAGAAATCAATTTAAAAAAACTGTTAAATCCATAAGAACTGACAATGGAAGTGAGTTCACTGGCCGTGAGTGTCAAAATTTACTTCGAGCCTTAGGTATTTTACATCAAAAATCATGTGTTTACACTCCATAGCAAAATGGAGTGGTTGAAAGAAAACATAGGCACCTCTTGAATATGGCCAAATCACTTATTCTTCAAGCCAATCTTCTTATAGATTTTTGGTCATATTCCATTCTTATGTCAACATATATCATAAATAGGATTCCAAGTGCTATCCTAAAATGGAAAACCCCTTTTGAAATTCTATATGGAAAAACACATGATTTATCATTCATCAAAACTTTTGGATGTCTATGTTATGTTACCAATACAAAGCCCCACAAAGATAAATTTAAATCAAGGGCACACAAATGTATTTTCATTGGGCTCAGTCCGGGACAGAAGGCCTATAAGGTCTATGACATATCTAGCAAACAAATCCATATTTCTAGGGATGTCATTTTTTATGAACACATTTTCCCTTTTGAAGTTGAAAAAACAGCCTGTCACTCACTCTCCTTTGCCTGTGGGATCACCTATTGGAGATTCTTTTCTTAATCCTCTTGTTCCTTCCCCAAGCTCTCCTAATACTCTTCAAGATCATTCAGATCCTTTTCAGTTTTCTGTGTCTGATTCTATTACTGATGATCAAACACCAGGTTCTTCTAATTCTGATTCTGATATTGTACCTCTTGTACAAGTCCCTTTTCCTGAAACTGATATATCTGAGGCTACTGATGTAGAGGAGCATAGACATAGTAGTAGACTGAAAGTTAGACCAGCCTGGTTGGATGACTATATCACTAATGTTACTGAAAGTTCAGTAGATCCAATTGCTAGTGTTCAAGTCACTTTAGATACCACTAAATTCAGCTCCCAACATACACCTACCACTTATCCTTATTCTGTCTCTCCTTATCTGCATCATGCATATGTTTCTTTTTTGGCTAATGTATCAAGCTTTCAAGAACCACATACTTATCATCAAGCTAGTAAGGATCAAAATTGGGTACAAGCCATGAATAATGAATTGAAGGCATTGGAGGATAATGGGACATGGGAGATGACTTATTTACCTGTTGGGAAGAAAGCAATAGGGTCTAAGTGGGTATATAAGATCAAACTGAAACCAGATGGAATGGTTGACAGATTCAAAGCACATTTGGTTGCTAAAGGATATGATCAAATGGAGGGAATAGATTTTTTTGAGAGCTTTTCACCTGTAGCCAAATTAGTGACAGTAAGGATATTCCTTACAATTGCCTCAGCAAAGGCCTGGCCTCTTCACCAGCTTGACATCAACAATGCTTTCTTACACGGATATCTTGATGAAGAAATATACATGGAGCCCCCAGCCGAATATACCCAAGCTTTGACAGGCCAAGTGTGCAAGCTGAAACGTAGTTTGTGTGGTTTGAAGCAAGCTTCACGCCAGTGGAATATTGAATTATGCCATAAACTTACTGATTATGGCTTTCCTG